ATTGGTTCGAAGAAATCTAATCCAGCTGTAAGAAGGTAGTTGTTCAAGAGAAACTAGGCTGTGCGGCTGTGCCTCGCTGTAGAGCCAGACTGCACAGAAGTTGGGGCTCAAGGTAGGCAATCTCATCTAATAAATTTTAAAAGTACGTGTAGGAGAAAGATAACTAGCTTTTATCCGGTAAGTGAATAATAAGACTGCTCAAATATAAGAGTTAGCTTGGTCCCCAATTACCCAGAAGACCAAAACGTTTAGCACTTATCAAGGTTTTTAACACCTTCTTTAGGGACACTGGTAAAAATGAATCTTGTCAGACTCTGCCATTTTACCATTAGTTAAAATCCCAAGACTCGAGCATCAACCATTTCTGAACTTCTCTTCTACTACATACCAATACAGGAAAAAGGGGAGTAAAAGGAAAAAGCCATTTCTACAGTTGGAATGAGTCAAATCTGCTCGNCCCACCCCATGCTTTATAAAATTAAGTGTAAACTACTAAGAGCGTACCTGCAGCCCATGCTCTACCATCAGAATTAAAAAGTTCAGCACGTAGCTTCTCAACTTCGCGTGCCATTGAAACTAAATTTGTCTCCATTGCCTGTCTCTGATCCATGAGTTCAATTTTAGCCTTCTTTTCATAGTCAGTAGCAGACCTATAAGTCACGATCAAATTAATAAAAGGGTTTCAACACCTGATGGCCACCAAGCAGGTGTTTGAAGTAACAGCATTCCGTGTTAATCATATCTCCAGACACAGAAAGAAACAAAGTAAGAGCAGATACCTTGCGCGTAAAAGTTCCTGATGCAGACCATCAATCTCAGCCCTTAAAAGGGGAATCTGTTGGCTATCAGCTTGTAGCTTGGCGAGGTCTTTGGTGAGGGTCTGCACCTGGCCAGAGAGATCCTGCTTAATAGTATTAAGCCTCTGAACTTCAGTATGGAGTTGTTTAGCCTCATTTTTCAGAGGTTCAGTAGCTCTAAGATCACCTTCCAGCTTCAAACCCCTTTCGATCAGTTCCCTAGAGCGCATTTCATGCTCCGCCTGAATATCTCCTATTGCAAGATTCATGCGATGAAGTTCCTCTTTTGCAGCACCCAATTCACGTTGAAGAGCAATTCGATCTTCAACCAGTCTCCGGTTTTCACCCAAAAGTCTGCGTATTTCAACATGTTGTATTTCAAGTTCTTCCTCTAACAAAGCAGGATGAGGCATGGGCCGAGGCATAGGACCCCGAGTAATATGTCCTTCTGCGGGATAGCCCCGGCGGTTATCAAATGCTTCCCGAGGAATGCGATTCCTTCCTGCCATCTCACAGAGTGCTGTAAAAGAGTGAGTACAGCAAAAAGAATTAGACCACAACAATAAGAAACAAACAGCTCAAAAACAAGTAATGATATGGCAATTCAACCAAGTCTTAAGCAATGTGGGGTGAAAACAAGCTACGGCCGCAAGGCACAATATTCTCATCAGTAACACACAAATAATAGTTTATTTAGTTGGCAGAGTCAGATAGTGCACAACACAACTAACACTAGACAACAAATCGTTGGCTGCTTCTATGTGAGCAAATTCTTAACAAGCATCCTTAGTTATCCAACAGAAATTAAAGATCTAAGACAAAATCACTCAAATCTTATTGTGATTCTTTTCTTTAGAGGTGTGTCATCAGGAACGTTACAGATCTAGACAATACAGGAAGACAAAAAAAGGCGGCATTCATGTGTAGGAGGGTTAATAAATAGTCGGCTAATGTAAGTAGTAATAAATGGGGAGCTAAAAGCAACTAGCAAACTGAAATGCAGCAGTAAGCTGTCTAGCTGCAGTTAGCAACTATGCTCGTATAGATAAAAGATCCCAAATATTCCTTTCCATTAATAAGGGAATCAGTTTGCACAAGAAACAAACAAGTCAGGCATTTAATTTTGGAAAGCATATAAAAATAACATTAATTAATTGCAGAATAAAAATGCCTCGAAATAACAGAATTAGTTAGATAACATACTGTCAATTAGCCTGTAAACAACGTGCTTTAAACTATATAAAGTGCATATACACTGGTAATACATATAATCTAGCATGAACATTCACAAAAAATAAACTTTACACTGAATAAAAGAGAAAAAAAAACAAAAAACTACTCACGAATCCCATAATACTACATCAATCACGATTCATCCGTTAATTCTCAGTATATATAACAACAAAAAATTCAAAATAAATAAATAAATAAAGATCAAGACTCCTCGTTGATAGTCCAAATCAACGTTATAAAAAGGACAAAAGTATAACATGAAAACCCTAAAATTTGCATTCATAATAATCTGAATAGATTCCTGAAGTGAACAGTGCCAAAATTTAAAAGATTTCCAAATCAAATGGAATAATTACAGCTGGGGTTCAATTTTAGAGCTTACAAAAATAAAAAAGATGTTTTCGTCCAAACCGGTATAGAGGTGTCTCTGTCTCCGCCGCTCGAGAATTGTATGCGCAGCCTTGCAAAGTCGCAGAAAATAGTTTTAGGGCCTTTTTGGCGATGCCTAAGAACTAAAGTTGAAGGGAAATAAAAAAGTAAATTACCTTGTCCTATCCCGCAAAAATAAGGAAAGAACAATTTATTTATGAGAAAGTTAAATTAAATAATTTTAATTATTGGGCCTATTGACGGAAAGGAGAGTGTGATTTAAGAATGACCATCGTCTTGAACATTTGACAAAAACCTCATGTTTAATAACTTTTAGGTAAATTTTCATAAAGCATTTAGTGGTAATTAGCTATTTAAAGATATCATTTGTTATATTACGGATTGTAGATACGTTTTCTGTTTTTATAAGATGTATTAGATGTATTTAAGTTATTGTATTCATGAATACAATAACAAAAATAGACGTGAATCAGGAAAGTCCAGCTAATCAGTTGTTGTATTCGACTGTATTTATGACGTGAAATTTGGGATTACAGCTGGACAGATTATTGCATTAGACTGTATTCACGACGTGAAACATGGGATTACACTATTTTTAAACGGAAAGTGAATCAATTAACATAATAGACTCCTAATATAACTCAACAAACTCAATTATAACACACAAGTTTTGTATTTCCTTGTATAAAAAAGATTCTCAACCGAAAATACCCCAAAAACATAGCAATCTTCAGAGAATTATATAATACATCTGAATTCATAAATTATATTAATTAAAATATATATATGAGTACATTCATGGCATATAGTGAAACAGTGAATACAATGAAATACATAGAATACAGCGGGATGCATTGAAATACAATGAAAAAAAAGACAGTGACTACAATGAAATACCTACAATGAAATACATGGAATACAGCGAGAAACATTGAATTACAATGAAAAAAAAGACAATGAATACAATGAAATACATGAAAATACTGCGTGATATGATGAAAATACGTTGAAATATATTAACAGAAAATCAAGTTGCTCAGCCCCAAATTCCGTCATCTTTGTTCAAGAACAAACCCTAATTTTCGGCGAGTCCGCCGTCAAGCATAAACCCTGAATCTCACTGTCCCACGCATCCTGTACAGTAAAAAATTGATAGTTTCGCTTGCCTCGAAAGTGGTGAACAGCAATCCAACTGTCGTGATCAGCCCTTAGCTTCCCGACAACCATGTTTGGATTCACCAAATTATTGCCATAATAAAACTCTGCTTCTTTAAGCTTCTTGCGGCAGCAGACACCTAAATTATTCTAGGCATGGGTCTTCCTGAAGTGGTCGATGTTGCCCGCAATTATGCCGTCATGGTCAGAATTCAGAGGTGATGTTGTATTTTATAGAATCGGAGAAATCTTCGGTATAGGTATACCAGGCAAATTTTCAGGGAATGGGGAAAGAGAATGATATGTATCAAAGTAGAGAGAGAAAGAAAATAGCATAACTGAATAGCGTATTTAGTGGCTTAGGGGTAAGAGGTAACCAAAATTAGATATTTTGCTATAAACATTAAAAGGTATCTATAGAATATAATTTTTTAAAATGGTATTTATTTAAAATAAATAAGGTATTAACATTTGCTATATTAGGTAAAAATTCCTAACTTTTATCCCATAGGTTCATGCAGTTCATTTTCAAGGTTATTGATTGTAATTTCTTGAGAAAGAGAAGTCAACATGTAAATTTGTTTATATGTAAATACTAACATAATTTTCTTCCAATAACATGAAAGTATTGATATTTGTGTGATATTTGAAATTATAAAAAATGTATTTGTTACTAATCAAACTTCATGAAAGGTATGTTAAAGGATGCGAGAAAATGGAGAATTATACGAGCAAGTTGCATGTAACTTGCCTTACTAGATTTGGAGGCATTTGCACAAATGGCCTCTTCGTGTCACTATGTAAATTCTTTCCTTCGGAGCGGTCAAAATTTGTCTGCCAACAGAAAAAAATCATTCAATTATGTTTAAAGACGATATTTAACCAAGTTGATTAACGGTCACAAAATTTAAAGAATGCCTTAAAGAAGATCATACAGCGCAAACAATCCGGAAATTTCTTAAAGAATTAACCCAATAGCCGCCCACCCAACCAATTCTCCAAGACCCATGTACCACCAACTCGGTCATCGTTAAAGCCTTTAGCTTTTTAGCGTATTTCGGTTGTGATGTCTCAAAAGTGTTACTCCCTTCGGTTTACAATAAGTGACCAATTTGCTTTTTTATTTTGGTTTAAAATAAGTGTCCAGTTATATAATCAAGAAAAAATTCAATTTATTTTTACAAAATAACCCCTATGTACATATCCCTAAAAAGTTTTCTTCTCACATTAAATGTTTAATTAGGGGTAGTTTAGTCATAGTAGGTATTTTTGCATAGAATTTAGTATTTTGTTAATGGGCGTGCTAAAAGCAAATCGGTCACATATTATGAACGGGAGGGAGTATAACTTATTCTACTCTTTTGGTATATACACAGTGCAGATAGTACTTTCCTTTAATGATTGCTTCATTAGTACCCAACAAGGAAAACAAAAATGCCAATATCAAATAAGTTGTGACAATGGTGAGAGAGATTCCTATGTGCAAACTTGTAGTCACCACTGACTTCCCAGAAAATTGCATCATAAAAAAATGCAAACACCTCGTTCGTGTTCGCTCAGAAAAATATACTAGGAGCTATCTTTAAGGAAGTAGAACTTCCCATAAGATCTATATTCTTACCTATATCACAAACATAAAAAGCTTTTCAGAAATCAGCAACATTTGATGGAAGTTCGTCGATGACCACATTGTAGAACCTTTGAATTTCAGATAACATTTTTTCCTCATCTGCTGTTACAAAGTTGATAGCATATCCTTTACTTTCAAATTCTCCACTTCTTCCAATACGACGGAGATAATTCTCTAGTTGAGTTGGAAGATCATAATTTATCACAATACACACCTGTTGCACATCAATAACACGAGCTGACAAATCAGTTGTGATAAGTATACTAGAGGAACCAGAGCAAAATTCACGCATGATTATGTCTCGAGTTTTCTGGTCCATTTTTCCATGAGTGGCTGAGACTGTGTGACCACGGCTTCGCATTTTATCTGTTAGCCAATTGACCTTTAGGCGGGTGTTAACAAAAATAACACTTTTGGTGATGTTTAGTCTCTCGTAAAGATCATATATTGCATCAAGCTTTCGTTCTTCCCTTACAACATTGACATAAAATTGTTTGATACCCTCAAGAGTCAGTTCATCAAATTTGACTAACACTTTCACTGGCTTATTCATGAACTTCCTCGTGATTTCAAGGGCGTCAGCTGGCATAGTTGCATAAAATGCTACTACGTGAACTTTGGCAGGTAAAAGCTGCAAAATGTCATAAATCTGCCAATAAAGATACATGGAAGACAAAATCAAAACTATGAATCTGCAAAGTGCTGGTAAAATGAAATGGAGGGGAAAGATTGAGTCAGTATATAGTATATACCACTCCATGAGAAGTAGCAAGAAAATGCACTAAACTCGTTTCTGCAAAGTTTTAGCAACTAATTGAATAGAAAGGATAACCAAACCCTGTGCCACTAACATTATGCATACCATTGAAATCTCTATTTCTAATCCCAAGAATGATTAAGGAAGGAGGAAAAGCACATGCTGACATCGTTTAATTTCACATCTTCTACACTGGTTATTTCAAGAGAATTAACAAAAGAGATACTCCGAAATTGGGAAATACCCAGCCACCCTCGGACCTAAACAGAAAGCATATGTCATCAAAGTGTAAAATACTATTGCAGAAGATGAACTACCTGGTCTTTAAATCCCCTTGAAAGCATTTCATCAGCTTCATCTAGCACAAACATTCTAATGTGATCAAGAAGCAGAGATTGGTTTTTCCTCCGCAACATGTCAAATACACACCCAGGTGTACCAACAACGAGATGAACTCCAGCTGATAGGATATGCTTATCCTCCTGGATGCTATTACCACCTACACAAGCATGGACCTTTACCCCAAGGGGGTCGCCAAGTGCTCGCATGACATTCTCAATCTGTTGTGCACGTTCACGAGTAGGTGCCAAAAACAAGGCTTGGCATTGAACTAAGCCACAGTCAAGCTGTTGTAAAATTTCAGAACAAAATGCAGCTATCTTCGCTGAGGCAGATAGAACCTGCTGAATTACATCAAGTCCCCCGCAAGATGGAACTATACCACTTTGCTGGATTGTGGATGGTTTCTCAAGACCTTCAATAGAAGCATCAAAGATTGCACTCAGCAAAATGGATTAGGAGGCGCGAAGCGGAAATTGTCAAGAGGTGAAGTCCGTGAAGAACTTAAGAGTTTTAGTATCATTTTGAGGAATAGAAAATCCAAAATTGTTAAAAGACTTAACACTTATACAAATAGATAATCCAAACAGAACCTAAACAATGAGACAAACAAAAAGGATTTCGATTGAATTTTTTTGAAAATATACCTTCTTTATTTGTCTGAATCTGATCCATCAGTTCAACTTTAGCCTTATTTTCATACTCAGCAGCAAACCTAAAAGTCATAAGACAAACTTAATATTACCTCCTGATAGCCACATTGTATGTTAATCATACTTCCAGAGGCAGCAGGACACAATAATAGCATATACCTAGCACACAAAAGCTCCTGACGCAGTCCATCAATCTCAACCCTTAAAGAAGGAATCTGTTTGTTTTCACCTTGCATCCTGACGAGGTCCTTCGTGAGTGTCTCTACCTGACTAGAGAGATCCTGCTTAATGGTACAAAGCTTTGTAACTTGCGAACGGAGGTTTTTAACCTCAATTTTCAGTGGTTCTAGAGCTCGGAGATCTGCTTCCAGCTTCAAACGCCTTTCAGTAAGTTCCCTACAGTGGATTTCATGCTGAACTCGAATATCAGATATCATAAGATTCATGCGATGAAGTTCCTCCCTAGCAGCACCTAATTCACGTTGCAAAGCAATTCGATCTTCAGCCAGTCTCCGATTTTCAACATGTTGCATTTCAAGTTCTTTTTCTAACAAGGCAGGATGACGCATGGGTGGAGGCATAGGACCCATGGGAATATGTTGTGCAGGGTAACCCTGATGATTATGAAATCCTGCCATCTCACGTGTGCTGTAAAAGTGTAATTGCAACAAAAGAATTAGACCACACAATCAGAAAAATTCAGCTCAATAGTAGATGAATGATACAGCAGTTCAATTAAGTTTTCAACAAATGTCCTATAATAATCTTCAGAATGTTCTGTGGGGGAATAAGTTCGCACAACAAAGTTGCAGTGGTTATGCCATTATCAATAATAATAGAGTTATCAATGTTATGGCTGGCCCTTCGGAACCAAGGAAGCTTAACGAACCCAGTAAATCGCATAATTCTTGATGGTGAAAAGAGAAGCCACAAAAAAAAAAAGGAGGATCTGCCATTGACTTATAGTTCAAGTTCCTATTGGAAGGAGGGGGAGGAAAGTCCAGGAAACTGAATTCTATAGAAAGACAAGAAGGTAATAAGAGCAAGTCGATCACTATATAATGGTCTTCCAAGAATATATTTATGGGGCAACTAATGCATCAACTTTCGAAGAAACTAATTAAAAGACGAGCCCATTGAGAAAATACATAAGTTAAGTATACAGTATTACATCACCAGCTGGGCAGACAAACACTTTAAAAAAACTTATCTTATTCAAAAGTAAAACAAAAAAACCAAGGCCATGAAATAATGGAAGCTAATACGGAGTGGACTTGAGAAATCCAGAAAAATTAAGGTGAACCTGTCATTTCCCTCAGGCTAACAATCTCAATCTATAGCTGAATTGGAAAATTAACCATCATATGTATACTTCTTGATGCTGATCAACATACGATAACCAATTAGTGTTGCAAAAGCACAATTTCTCATAAAATTTTATTAAAATTGGCAGTTTCAGATAGTGCACAAGAAAAGTAACAACTACAGACTAACCGTTGGCCGCTTAGTTGTTAGCTAATTCATAACAAGCACCCTTAGCTTTCTTAAACAGATGGAAGATATAAGACGAATTCAGTCTTGCTTCTTAACAATTTTCTTTTGCTGCAATTTTGTTTTGAGCTATGCTCTTCTGTTACACATGCAATGGATTTTCCGACTTCATACAGCAAACCAAAGAAACAAACATCAAGATCAAAATTACTCCTTTTCTTTCTCAGCCAAGGATGTAGCCTAATGGTCAATCAATTGGATTGAGAACCATGAGGTATCAAGTTCAAATCTCAGCGGACGCAAAAACACTAGGTAATTCTTACTGTGATCGTGATTTTTTCTATTTGTCTAAGCCTTGACGGATAGAGTTACGCAATAAGTGTAAAATTAGTTGAGGTGTGTGCAAGCTGGTGGGGACAATAGGATAATAAAAAATATTTTCTTTTTTTCAACAGCATGTAGAAAAATTAAAATATAAAAACAACCCTAGATTCCACATTCTTATTTTTTTGGGTTAATAGAGGAGATAACTCGACTAAGAAAACTGTCAAAATCAAAAGGAATGAAATAGTGCTGAGATAGGATTTTATACCTTGAGAAGATAGGGAAATTGAACAGCGGCAGCGTCGGACGCCGGTGGAAAGGTGCCTCTCTCCGCCTCCGGGAGAATGGTTTAGGAAGTGATTTTAAATCCGTTACACTCGAGCCCCGTCCCGCCGAAACAAAATGATATTAGACCAGAAACAATGATAGTAGCTCAAAGGGAGAAAATTTGTCATCTTTTATAGGAATTGATTTCTTATTTTTTTTTTAGGAATAAAATCTAATCTATTTATTATCTTTATCAAGTATTTCTCTCGGCAGGGAGGATTTTACCCTTGGACTTACGCGGTGTGAATCCGATTACACAGGTAAGCATATTTGACCATTTAGATATCGGATGATTACAAAAATAAAGTAGGGGTAAGATATACGTACGCACTATTCTTCTTAGACCTCACAATGTAGGATAATATTGGGTATATTATTGTTGTTGTATGATTACAAAAATAAAGTATTATGTAAGAGTTACGAATTTAAATTTATATGAAGATGTCTGAAATTTTTATTTTTATTTAATTTGTAACAATCGGGATATTTTTACCTTTTTTCTTTTTGTAATGCAACTACATAATAAAAGAAGTCAGCTTCTTCCATTAATATTTTTTATATTTTATTTCAAAAACTCGTCGTGTGATAATTCTCGAAATTAATTTCTATATAACATATGCATAAACCTATCAACTTCTCCTCAAAAACTAACTATATAACGGGAAAAAAGTTGATTTGAAATTTTGAATATTTAGTAGATAACTAATGGGAGAAGTGCTATGATTATTATATCTCAATATTTTCTTTAATACTATATTCAATAATTAAAGGTCGATTTTGCTTTTAATATTAATGGAATGACTAAATTCCTTAGGCAGCCATTCAAACAACTCATTCTTCAAAAGGGTATTTTATACAATTGAAACAGCTAATTCCTTTTAGATTATGGCACCTATGGAATGTGCGTAACAAAAATTGTTTTGAAAATGCAACTCTACAGCCTTCAACCAACGCAACTATCCAGTTAACCGACGAACATCTTTTCCTAACTAACATTTGCAACCATAAAAGTCTTGAAATAGCTATGTATGTAAAATGGAATCCCCTGGACGGGAATTATCATCCTAAATAGAGATGGGGCTTTTAGCCCCCACAACCACAAGCTGGCTTTGGGGGTTTTCAGAAACCACAAAGGTGATTGGGTAATGGGTTATGCGGGTCACCATCAGACCAATGTCATAGAAATCAAACTTGGCACTACTACGTGGTTTGCAAATAGCAGTGGCACATCAACTAGCTCCATTGCAAATTCAGATGGACGCCCAACATGTAATCACTATATTACAAACACAAATAATATAACACTCATCTTTGCTAAATGATTATAGATTCCTGATCCGGCAATTGGGTACTGTTTAACCAAAAATCTGAGTCTTTGGTCAAAGCTAAAAAGAAATTCGGGTTACTGATAATCAGGAGACGAAAATAAAATACTTTGGAGAATGATGGTAAAGCAGCAAATAGTTTTGTATTTCAGTAAGTTCCCAATAGTACTCTGTGTCTTTACAAATGATGATACTTCTTTCTTTTATAGGTAATTCTAGGTAAAGGAATGAAGCCTCAGCTTTAATGATATAATTATGAGTAATAAATGATATTGAATAAGCCGTTATACAATCATTCCTATTAAATACCAATTTTCTAACGTATCAGGTATTTAATAATGAATTTGGACTCCTTTCTGTCATCAGATCTTTGTCTTTAATGCCTTCTAATCCGTTGGCTGTAAATGACTTGAATTGGTACGAGACTCGTATCTGCACTTCGTCTCGTGCCTATTTAAATTCCTCTTCCCGTGGCTGTCTCCATCCGTGCCTCTTAGTCAATTGTTGCGCTTTGACCATTTAACCAAACCACGTGTCATGCCACGTCATCTTTAATATAAACTCAGTTTTTTCCCAATACAGATAGTCCCCCCACTTTTCATTTATTTATCAATTAAATAATTGGGAAGCAGATCTTCATAAAAAAAGGAATTTTCGCCACAATTAATGCTTATGACAGTATTAACGCCTCAGTAGTCTTTTCCATTTAATGTTCTGCCCATGTGTCATTTTCTGATTGATTCTGCTATTTACACCCTTTTTCAAGACTTCTTCATTCTCACTATTCACGAAGTGATAGTTGCCTTTATTATAGGCTTTCCATCATTACACTTCTAAGTTTGACGGTTCCCATTATATACATAACTTTTTCTTCCTTTGTCTTCTTCACAAATCTTCAGCAAACATTTTCTTCTTTATTTCTACTTTCTTTCGACTTATCTTTCCTAACAATGTCATCTTCAAACCCTAACCGTAAAAAAGTTCCGATTCTAGACCAATTCCCCAACGCCCCTGTTAGACACAGAAGAGGCGGAGGAGGTAGGCTTCGAACAGGGTTAGAATCTACTCGAGGCGGCTCCTCTGGTTCTTCTTCAAGGAGTTCTATCCCAAAGGCCCCCTCTTCTAGAAGTAGAGAAATTCTTGATTCTTCTCAAGAACCCTTAGTTGATGAGATAGTTCCCAGCGATTTGTCTTTTGAAAGTGACAAAACGTCTCTTCAAAAGCAAAGTAACCGAGCTTACAATCCCCACCATAAGAAGAGATTGTAACTAGAAAGATAGTCTTCGAATGCCAATTCCTTCCCCAAATCAGAGAATTTCCTCCTTTAGAAGTGGGTATTCTTTTGTTTATACTTACCCCTTCACTTTAGGTTTTAATCCTCTGATTGACCCAATTATTCTTGATTTTTGCCGTTTCTTTACAATTTTTTTGGCCCAAATCGGTCCCCTAGTGTGGAGAACAGTGGCTTGTTTGAGATACTTATCTTCCAAAGCCAATGTCAATTTCACCTTCTCTCACCTCATTCATTTATACCACCCTAACTTAATACGCCATGGGGTTTTTACCTTAACAGCAAGGAGCAAAAAAGTTCTGGTAAATCCTGAAGATGACAAAGATCGTGGATGGTACATCCGTTACGTTGATGTTCGTACGGTGGGCTTGATTGGCGAAACAAATATTCTCTTCCCTGAGAAGTGAAATTTTGCACGTAGGTTTCTTTTTACTTACCGTACCTACTCTTGAGAATTTCAAAAGAAATTTGTTTTTAACCTCGTCTCTTCTTGGTTTTTTGTAGCAACCATGGGAGATGTGGAACCTATTCCCAACTTTCGTGGTTGGGTAGACTCACTTTTGAAGATTGCTTCTAGGGAGCAAAGAACTTGAAAATCGATTTCTTCCTTACATGGCTGGAAGGTGAAAACACATGGTATGCCCCTTTTTTATATGTTTTTTTTACATGTTAAGCATTTTTTCCTTAATTTTGATCATGTATATCCTTCCTTTAATCAGGATTTGGCGTTAGAGGAATGACGGCTGAAGTAGCTATGGCCATTCGCATGTCTGTTAATGTTGCTCTTGATTTGGATAAGGCTCGAGCCTTGCTGCCAAAAAGGAAAGCTATAAAAGAAAGTTCTGAAGAAAAGGAGGGTATCTCCCTAATTACCAGGCCAAGGGTCAGGAGGCGAATAATCATTGATGATGAAATTGAAGACACTCCTGCTCGAACCTCAACCACCGAACCTGTTTTGATTCATTCTGACGAGGACACCGAACCAAGAGATAATAATGAGTCAATTCAGCATCTTTTTTATAGTGGTTTCGAGAGTGGCGAGCTTGGCCCTGTTTTTGATGAAGCTCCTCTTTCCTTATTCGTTCCTATTTCCTCCATTCCACTGTCAACCGTAAGTATTTCTTTACCAGTTTTGACGACTTCCGTTCTTTTGCCAGTTTCTACCGCTCCTATGTCTGTTCCCTTGGTAGTTTCTACTGCACCTGCTTCTATTCTTGCGTTGATTTCTACATCTTCTCCTTCCATTCCTGTTTCTGCATCTTCTCCTTCCATTCCTTCCATTGCTCTTCTTCCCTCTGTTCATCGTACAGAGACGGATTCTAGCAGTGGAAGTATGACTATGAGAAGTGTTACTCTTGAAGTTCCTGCCAACCATAGCCTCTTGAGAAAGACTGGTAGAGTCGATGTTTGGCTCGAGCCCCTAATTGGAGATATTGAGAAGAAGAAGATGGAGAGCCATAGCTGCTTGACTCTGATGAATGACATAGTTCATTCTACTTTGAAGGTATTTTTCCTCTTCTTACCAACAAGTTTTTTTTTATCTTCAATCCCTCATTTCTATGAGTTGTCTCTGTAGGCTAACCTCATTGGTACGGAATTAATGGGAAGAATTTCCCTCATGAAAAGAAAAGCCCGTGAGTCTGAAAAAACTGTCCACGAGGCCGAAGAAATAACCAGGGGAGCCCAGCTTGAAGCAGCCAATTGGAAAGAACAGTTTGAGAATGCTCAAGGGACCATAGAGGAGTTGCAAGAAAATAAAAACCTCCTGGAGCAGCAAAACCGTGGTTTGACTTCTGAACTGGCAACTGCCAAGGCTTCTTCAAGCCAATTTAAAAGAGACAAAGAGCTTTTGGAATGCTCTTTGTCACAACAATTATCAAAGGCTAGTGAAGAAGTTAGGGAGCTTAAGGCACTTTTGGCTAAGAAAGAAGAGTATGCATGAGAGTTAATGCAAAGCTTGACTCAAACTCAAGCTGACTTACAGTCCTCCTCTGACGAGATTCATGCTTTGAAGAGTTCTCACGCCTCTCTTGAAGCTTCCCTTGATTCCCATTTAGCTGAGCACCAAATCTTGAAAAACGATCTTGCTATATGGGAAAAGGAATATGGACTTCTGGAGGAGAACTTCAACATAGAGGTGAGTTGGGCTTTCCTAAAATCTCGCCGTGATGCTTTGACGGAAGCTGCTCAAGAAGGCTTTGACTTGTAGTCTGAACTGGCCAAAGTCGTAGATATCATCGAGAAAAGTCAACAATCTACTGATACTCCTTCTCCTGTACTTGAAGCTCCTGGAACGGAAGAGCTTTTAAATGAAGAAGTGGCTACTGCAGCAATTGGGGTTGCAATTCCTGCTCCCGAGGGTGAAACTTCTGATGTTCCAGACCCTTCAGTGACTAGCTGAAAATGAAATTGTTGTAAGGGATCTTTTGATGAAGTCCCCAATTATCATAATGGGGCATTTTTAAAAACAAATATTTTGCTGACTAAGTTCATACTTGGTCCTTTATATTAAGAAGTTTTTGTTG